AAAGTAGGGTAAGATAACCGATTCTAGCACAGAGGAGTAGGTAAGTGACGAAACGTGTAACTGTTAAATGGTTACTATTAAACGGTTGCTGTTACTGGTCACATGATGTTATTGGCTCTTGACGATGTCAGTGAGTGTAAGCATTAATACGTATATTGGTTGTATTTATACTACAAAGAATGCGGTTTTAAATAGAAGTTATTTGGTTGTGAGAGGGAAAGAAGTAGGAATACGTTAGGAGGAGGGAGAAGGTGGTTGAGTTGGACAGTTAAATGTTATGTCGATAATTAAATGAAATGTTGTTAAGGTTAACGATTCTTTATTTTGATATAAATAAAGTATATAAGTGCTACAATCAAAATATTGAATAATAAAATTACATTAATAGTGCTTGTAGAAATAGGAAAGGGTCGGTGATGTAACCCTTTGATACAGAGCCCTCTCTGTTTTCAGCCTCATGAAGGGGAATCCATCGGCTTTCAACGTATTTTCGAGACTTTCCATCTTTTTCAATGAATGCAGGTTTTCCACGTTTTCTATGGTATAAACATTTGTACCATTCACATTTTTTAAAATAACAGATCCCCAAGTTTTCATCCATGCACTAGGCACATCAATATCTTTATTAAAATTTTTACAAACAGGCTTGATCACCAATTGTATTATCAGGTCGTGAAATGTAGAGGGTGTTGTTATATAAATATGTTAAAATCAGTAACGACGATACACTGATCATGACTGGTTTTTCCATTACAACTGAGATGATGAATACGAAGGACGTGTTCTTATTGGACTGCCTCTCCAGAGATTCCTGTTTTAGTGGAAGGGGTTTTAGGTACATAAGTTACGCGAATGAGTGAAGGAGCAGTAGAAGTTTAGAAGAGTTGAGTATGTAAGTTAGTAAACATGGAAAGCTTTATCGAAAAGTTTAATAGTGTGCGGGTGGGTTATGAAGAAAAAGAAATACGTTCTCTAACATCATTGGAAGTGAATCAAACGTATCCCGTACAACGCTTCAAAAAGGTTCACACAAAATGGGGTCCTCGTCTGTTAGCTGATTTGTACAGCTTTGTTATATTTCTTTCCTGCAGACATGCAGAAGCTTTTACGGATGCAGAANACACACACACACACACACACACACACACACACACACACACACACACACACACACACACACACACACACACACACACACACACACACACACACACACACACACACACACACACACACACACACACACACACACACACACACACACACACACACACACACACACACACACACACACACACACACACACACACACACACACACACACACACACACACACACACACACACACACACACACACACACACACACACACACACACACACACACACACACACACACACACACACACACACACACACACACACACACACACACACACACACACACACACACACACACACACACACACACACACACACACACACACACACACACACACACACACACACACACACACACACACACACACACACACACACACACACACACACACACACACACACACACACACACACACACACACACACACACACACACACACACACACACACACACACACACACACACACACACACACACACACACACACACACACACACACACACACACACACACACACACACACACACACACACACACACACACACACACACACACACACACACACACACACACACACACACACACACACACACACACACACACACACACACACACACACACACACACACACACACACACACACACACACACACACACACACACACACACACACACACACACACACACACACACACACACACACACACACACACACACACACACACACACACACACACACACACACACACACACACACACACACACACACACACACACACACACACACACACACACACACACACACACACACACACACACACACACACACACACACACACACACACACACACACACACACACACACACACACACACACACACACACACACACACACACACACACACACACACACACACACACACACACACACACACACACACACACACACACACACACACACACACACACACACACACACACACACACACACACACACACACACACACACACACACACACACACACACACACACACACACACACACACACACACACACACACACACACACACACACACACACACACACACACACACACACACACACACACACACACACACACACACACACACACACACACACACACACACACACACACACACACACACACACACACACACACACACACACACACACACACACACACACACACACACACACACACACACACACACAAATCCTATAGTTTGTTATTATTAATAACACTTACATACTTACATACATACATACATACATACATGCATACATACAAGCATGCATACATACACGGAAACATTTGCACGCGCGGCGTATTGTAGTGGGCGTTAACAAAATCAAAAAAACCGTAAACAATAACAAAAAGAATGGACGATGTCACGCCCATCTAGTCATTAACAAAATGAACGATTACAACATCATTACAAAATATTCCATAAATGGAAATGCGGGGGGAACAGGGGGGGAACGATTGCAAGCCCGAAGGCGTTAACAAAATGGAGGATAACAACAAAAAACACCCACATGACACAAGAGGGGGACGGGGCCGACCAATCAGAGGACAAAATCTAACGAGCGGAAGTGCCGTAAGAAAAGCATTGGGAGATAAGGAGATTTTCCCCTAGATATTCTACTGGTGGTCCGTCAGTTTTGGAGTGACGCCTGAAGTAGATGGTGGAAGTCCAGAATGACTTTTTGGTCGGTTAGCCATGGGTGCCCCAGGATGACTTCGTCTGTAGGGCTTACACTATGCTACATTGTACGTAGACTTCTTGGCGATGTTGCGAGTGCCAAGTACAGACAGGCTGGTGACGCCGTCGCCAACCGTGAGCTTGTCTAGCCTCGAGTAGAGTCGCGAAGGGTTCGCGAGATTTTCGCGAATAAAATTACCGCTGGCTCCGGTGTCGATAAGCGCGCGTATGGAAGCTCCGACCACGGTCAGCGTGATTCGGGACAGGCTGTGATTATTTCTCTTGCTTCTTATGTGGGGGTCGGTCTCTTGGTGGGCTGACTGGGTACGGCCCGTGGTGCGCTTCCCTGTTTGGTTGCGACTGGACAGTGGCGATACCAATGGTATTCCGGACAGAATAGGCATAAGTAGGGTAAGATAACCGATTCTAGCACAGAGGAGTAGGTAACTGACGAAACATCATCGATCGTAAACGTGTAACTGTTAAATGGTTACTGTTAAACGGTTGCTGTTACTGGTCACATGATGTTATTGGCTCT